TGCTTGTGTTTGCCTGCGAAGGAATGTGGGCCGGCTCCGTTGTGAAATGTGGCTCCCATCCACATGCGTCCCGGTCTTATTCCTTCGGGTTTACACTGGATATGGGGTATGGGGTTGGGGCTGTGGGTGGTGCACCGCAAGCCATCCATGGTCCCTCTGTAGGCGCAGTCGTCCTGTGGCTGGCCACGGTGACGGGAAAATCCGAGACCGGATGCCGCCAACCATGTATGTGTTAGTTAGCTGAACTATCCTAATTGTAGTTAACTTCGATAACGTTTTCGATTTTGTGGCATTTCGTTAAAATATATTTTCTGACCTCGTCAACTCATCGCGGATTCATTCGTTACCAATTTATTTTATGCGCTCGTTTAGTAAAGAGTTATGCCACCGTATCTGTATGCATTATCCAACTTATTTTCTTTCATCTTGTGGTTTCAAGTGATTGGCTGTTGCTTGAAATCCCCGGTGCGGCTGCCCTTGATATGCATGTTGACAAGGTGCCTACCTGTCTATTACCCACTACCTCGTACATACTGGCTCTAGGAGATAGTTGGTCGTTGCTGGACGGGAAGGGGGGCACCGTCCTTGTGACCGCGATGGGCTTGAAGAGCGGTTCCATGTACTCAGTGTGGAGCGGACTACGGTCCAGCCACCGCCTTGTGTGCGCTTGATTCCCCAAATACAGTGTGCTTGTGTTTGCCTGTGAAGGAGTGTGGGCCGGCTCCGTTGTGAAATGTGGCTCCCATCCACATGCGTCCCGGTCTTATTCCTTCGGGTTTCCACTGGATATGGGTATGTGGTTGGAGCTGTGGGTTGTGCAGCGTAAGCCACCTATGGTCCCTCTGTAGGCGCAGGCGTCCTGTGGCTCTCCCTGTGGAGGCGACCGTGACAGACAACACCGAAACCGGACGCCACCAACCATGTATGTGTTAGTGGTCATGGTGACTGAATTCATGTGTTTATTTGCTGTCTTCGCCATCGTATGAAGACATCAAAGGTACTGTTTGACCTGGATGACTTTCGTGAAGTGGGGATCCTCCGGAAGGGGACTAGGCAGTGACTTTATTTAAAGGCTAGTCACATCCGCAACGTCGCAGTGTTGTTAAACGGACCTTTATGACTTTTTATAGGGAGAACATTTACCAGGCGAAAATCCACCACTTCCTGGAACACTGCCGCCGAACTATTCGTTAGAACAGGATTAACCCGAAATACCCAGCTGGCATCACATGATGGTTGTTCGGCTAGCCAGCCAGTAGGGATCTGAACGATGAACCTAAGAAGGTGGGTGAACTAATGTAACTAAGCCACGGATTGGTGGTCGAATAAATCGACGCCAGGCCACACAGCTACATCTCTGCATTATTCAACCGGCCAGATGACCAGTTATGCCTAAGCATTTTGAAGTTTTCGTCCTTCCTTGTTGGTCTTGTTTTACTCCAGAAAGCTGTGGAATGGGATTGAATTGGTTCAGGTTGCGACCCACTTGGTTAACAGCTAGTCGTTTTAATGACTTGATGGAAATACAACCAAAACATGCTTCGATCTTACATGACATAACCCGCTTCCAGTGTATGACCATGGAGTAGCTGGCTGAGGTCCGAACAGCGGCGTAAGTTGAAGTCAGCCAGCATTAGGCTGAAAACTGTGAAGTTGGAGGCAGCAATCTACATTTGACGGACGCGCTTGAAGCAGTGTGGTTGATGCGCTGTGTACCAACTATATATATTGATCCTTTTCGCGGGACGTAGAAGCCACGATTAAACTTTGCACAACAATTTGTCTCAACGGGGCATCGAACCCCGGACCCACGGATTACCGGTCCGCTGCTCTACTACCCAGCTACCGAGGGCTGACGATGAAGTGCGCAATTTAATACATGACTTCTGCTTAGTTCGCGAGGTTTTGCCAATAAGCTCAATCTGTCCTGGTGTTGCAGCTTGGCTTAATCACTCGGCACTTCTAAATAAACTGAAGTGTCTGTCCTCCTGATGTTCAAAGGGCGCTGGTAAATTACTGGTGGTTTTTGTGAGTAGTGTACTGTTCGTAGAAAGTAGAAGCCGCGATTAAACTTTGCACTTTGATCTGCCTCGGTAATCCGTGGGTCTGGGGTTCGATTCCCCATCGAAGCAGGTTATCGTGCAAATGTTATTGGTGGATCCTACGTTCTACAAAAAATACACTCCTCACAAAAACCACCAGCAATTTACCAGCGCCCTTTGAACATCAGGAGGACAGATACTTCGGTTCATTGGGAAGTGACGGGTGAGTGAATCAATTTGCAACACCAGGACAGATTGAGCTTATTGGCAATGCGTCGCGAACCAAGCAGAAATCATGTATTAAAGTGCGCATGTGATCGTCAGCCCTCGGTATCTCAGTGATGGGGCAGCGGACCGGTAGTCCGTGGGTCCGGGATTCGCTTCCCAGTCGAGGCAGATTATTGTGCAAATTTTAATCGTGACTTCTACTTTCTATGAGGGTTACACTTCTCACAAAAACCACCATTAATATATTGAGAAACTACTCTAACGGTTTTGAGACTTATGAAACGGCTATGTTTCCCAGGAGGAAGACTGGCACGAATTGGAGAGCCCAAAACCAGGTAAGCTGCTACTAGGTAGCCAATGAGCTGCTGACTTATCTTGAGAAAACTACTCGTGTCTGCAGTTAATGTTGGCTTGAACTACGGTACGATTTGCGTTACCGAACTCAGGGAGATAGTAGGGAAATAATGAGGACGGGTTTCTACCAGGTTACTCCACCTTGCAAGTGGTTGCGCAATCTGTTCATTAACGGAAATGTTACAGTCTGGTCGGTGAATAAACAAAAAATGTCACTGGCTTCGTGTAAACTGTGTACATAGCTACGCGCCTGACGATTTGGCCGATTCAACTGGGTGCACACCATTAGCAGTACGTTTTATCGTTATGCGGCCTGTTTAAAAATCCTGCAGCACACCATGCCACGCTGAGCTTCCGCAGATTTCTTTGGTTATGAAAACATCCATGGCCTTTGTCCCAAGTCGAATGCGCTATCCATGTTTGGCAAACGTAGCCAATGCGTGACCTCATGGCATTTAAGACCCGACAACGTCGGAAAAGAAAAAAAATATCAATAATTTTGCCACCTTCCTTACCAAGAAGGACCGAAGAAACGCGGTATTAAGTGGAGGCTACCGGTGATTACTTGAAGACCTAATATTGGAATACTAAGTACTGAAAGATCTCAGTGACGTCTGCTTCCACCTTCTGAAACTCATTCCGAGAACCAACCTGCATGGCAACAGTTTGAAGTTAGGCCAAAAATACTGCAGTCCAGATTATAGATGAGCTTAGTTCTCCCCACGGTTTGCCAACTCTGGAACGTTCTTTTAAACTAGTTGTCTGTGCCCCCAAATTAAACATTTCAAGAAACGGTTAGATATCGTGCTCATCCTCCGACACTTTGTTTCAGGTACGGATACCCTGGGGTGTATTCCGGATAACCAGGTTTTAGAATTACTATCCAAACTGACGCACGCAAATTGCTCGTATTTTACAATTACGGTTAACGAGCTTAACATGTTATTTCCCTTTTCTTGGTGTCGTCACATTCCCTGTGGAAAAGTGTCGCTCGTTTACGTGCATTGGCTTGGGTAACACGTACCGCAAACTAATTCCCAGGGAAGAGACTTGTGTGCTCATACAAATTGACCTAAACTGTACAAAGCAGGCTAAGGCAGCCGCAAATAGAGTCAACCAACACGTCGGCCCGCTGCGAATGGCATTCTGGAGATCTGACCCATCAATCCTCCCAATGATGCACAATTCCATCGTGCACCCTTAGGCTGAAAAATGCAAGCTTGACAACCTTGGTTAAAGCGCGACCGGGAAATCCTAGAGACTCCACAACGTAAGGCAACAAAGGATGTTAACGATCTATGCAATCCTTCTAACCAGCAAGAGCTGAAGTTATTGGGACTTTTCAGCGGACGCTAGCTTTGACTACGCGATGACCTCATGGTATGCATCAAAGCGTGACCGCCCCAACCACGTATGCCGCCATTTGTTGAAAAGTAGCTACAACACCAAGCTCAGAGGTAACTGCTTGGAACCGTGTGGATAATACAGCTGTCTGGAATATCAACGGAAATATGTTTATTCTGGGTTTTCCAGCCTTGGAATTCTCTCGAAAGCACAGTTCTATTCTCCATTAATTTGACTTTGCCAAAAACATCTGTAAAATCTCCCGGCCAAGTTGTCCTCTTGGGCAACAGAACTAATCTGAGAGGGCATTCAACATGAGTCTACTCAATTAATTTGTTCCGTGCGTATGCCAGTCACTTGTGCAGGTGTGTAGGTTTGCGTGTATAGCCCGTCGCCTTCAGCCAATTTGACCTCAGACGCACTAAGTCATAGGGGTGCAGGTGGGACGCTTCAGCTCCTACACACGGAACAAATTAATTGAGTAGACTGATGTTGAATGTCCCTCAGATTATTTCTGTTGCCTAAGAGGACAACTTGGCCGGGAAATGGTGTAGATGTTGCTCTTAGCTCCCATCATTTCATTAGCTAAACAGTGCTACTTTGGAATCAATTAATGATGCCCTCATACCGGATTTATGTGTCACATGCAACTGAGTGAGTGAGCGTCTTTGCGCTCATTTTTCTAACGCAATACATCAGCTATAACGACCCCCATGTTGCCTTGTATGTATGCATTTGATTCTCATTTCCTACTACCCTTATTCAGAAGTGCATTTGCTTGATTTATAGTTCAACGGAGGATACACAAACTTTTTGATATTGTAGTTTTCAGCCTAACCCGCCTACGGAACCTGTCAATCGGCTGCTCTTTTCCCGTGATAAATGTTTTTCATGATTCTACTATGCCGTTGCCCTGCAAAGTTTATTTGTTGCACTTCGAATTTACAATTCCTTTCCTTACCAAATTACGGGATATATTAACTCTATACCTTACTACTGTCATAAATCATTGTTCCACTATTATCTTTGTAGGTCAAAGTTACCAAGAATCGCGGGAAAGAAGGCACCGAACAATTCATCGGCTACATGCAACGGGGTGATTGGTTTGGTGAGAAGGCTTTGTGCGAGTAAGCTTCTACGTTCGGAGTACTTAGTCGGTGTTTCTAGACCGCACATTTCATGCAACTGCTTTTGTCATTGCCAGAATAAAGCCGTCAGTTTACCGGTGGTACAAATAACCACTTGGGGCAATCTTGGTGTTTGGACTTGAAGATTTCATGTAACATTGCAAAACGAGTGTATTCCTAATGTAAGGTGTAAATGCTTAACCGGTTCCTAAGCCTACACATACCTTGGTTACCTAAGCTGAGTAGAAATGCACCTCCCTTTGCTCACATGACAGAGAATACTGTTGATATATAGCGATCAAATGTTAGGAACTCAGCGTACTAAACTCGGATGGTAGGAAATTCCTGTCTGATCTTCGTTCAACATGCCCATCTATCGGTTTCGCTAGTTGGAAAGTATCTTAGAAATCACAACACTTGAAGGCACCAACCACCTACTCAGACATCAGGACCTGCTGGTGAAAGAAGAGTTGCATTACGCTCAGCAGGAATCAGTGACTCATTACGTAGCACTGCTATTGTCAATATCGTCTGGTTGTACCCATCGGCCGGTAAACCTCAACAATTCAGGCCAGCAAAATTATTTCCCTGATAAGGACGCACCATGCATCTCAGGCGAATCGATGGCTCTAATGCGAAATCACTCAAGTGACTGACATTACTGATACGCAGTTGTGCCGAATTGCCTTGTTGTAAATTGATCCAATTCGTCACTCCCGTATGTAGCACAAGCGTTTAGTTTGGATTGGTTGCAGTCTTACATTATGATACATCTCAACGATTTTCCTTCCCGGATAAACAGTTGGTTGATAAATGCACTGAATTGGGTCGAGCACAGACGGCGTTTATCCTCCATGAAGGGAACACATATTGCTCAGTTAAAATCTGTGGGGTTCGTGTCAGATCCCAGCTGTATGCGATGACACGCACGAAGTATGTCAAACACGCGATACTGGAGAGCAATATGATTGGTTGGAGCGGGATGCGTATTGTATGGGACTACAACCAGTCGAAGACAGGTGAGGAGCAGCAGGGAGCATGGTGGCGCGTTACTCATGAAGAAATCACAAAAGCGAAATTACTTTCAGTAAAACGGGTGAACGGTTCTAGAGTACGAAGTTCAATGTTTTCCAGCGATTGGTTTTTGGAATTTCATCACATCAAGTCTTAACAGAACAGCCACAACCTCCCCGGAAAAGCCATGTAAGGCCGTTTCATCCCTTCGGTAATCATCAGCAGTGCGCATTCCATCTAACTCATGTAGGAAACGAACCCGCAACTAGACTGTTACGAGTCCTTGATGAAGTCTACTAGGCTACGGGAGACGGTACCGATTGACTTGACCAAGTTGCTAGATGTGATATTGCACTGCTCACTACCCACTGACTTGCACCCTACTGCCGTGCAGAGAAGAGCGTAGCCCCTTCACCAAGTGACGAAAATAACAAACTTAAGCCGCCATTCAACTGATGGCATTATACGCACTTTGGTCTGCATTCTGACTACAAGGGCGTAGTAAAGGAGATTCGAATTGTATAAGTAGAAGTTCCTCACAAATAATATCAATAAGACAGCTACCACAAGTCCGATAAAATAATCTAAGTTGTTTCTTCCTGTCAGGAATCATCAAGAGGACAGTAACTGTCCCCCAAAAAGATGTATTTGCCATTTACCAACCCTACATTTTGTGATCCACGGTTGGTTTCAATGGACCTGAACACTGCGGATAACTTCAACTGGAAAGATTCTATATTCTTTGTATAACTTATCATAACATTTCCAATCATATTTCCCATATTTATCTGCTGACCAGTGATTAACATATTGAAATACCCCATTTATCAGAAATCAGCCAGGTGAATAAACAATGAACTGTCGACCAAAACCACTAATCATTAGTGACTGGGTGCGTGGTGTTGAACTTCCGTTGACATAAAGCGATCTACGCGTACATAAGGATGATGGCAATCCATCAAAACCAGTTAGCTCAAACAGTTGTGCTATTTCTGATAAACGAGCTCACAATTAGCAGGCGAAAGTTGGCATCAGAAGCCGCTGCTGATTTCGACAAAAACGGGACAAACCCGACTGAAACCACTAGTGGGACACGTGGATTTCCAAGTTGCAGCTGCTGACCGCAATTGCATTAATTTCGTTGTCGTGACCAAATTCATCAGCCATTGAGGGACTACTACCTGCAGCTCAGTGTATGTAAGCTGGCATGCGAGGAAAAAGTGGTTCCTGAAAATCGCGTGTCTATTCTGTATGGGACAAAGTACTTTAAAGCGGGTGGCTGATACAATACATGGTACTTAGAATCAGTGATCACGCGAAACGCTGGCTGGCACGCAGGTGATCTCGCGTGATCTACCTCACGTGATCTGCATCACGTGAGAATACTCCAGTCAGACAGTGGGTGCAGAGCTACTGCTTGCTGCCGAGGTTTTGACCTGATGAATGCAAGCCCATGCAAACCTACTCATCGCGGTTCCCCTTACGTGTGGATTGAAATAGCTTATTAAAGCAGCAAAACACGAAACAATTGACACTTGGGAGCTTAAAGCTGTGTGTCTGCTGGGTGAGTGAGCGATAACGCTGTTGATGTGTACAGTTTAGTATAGGAGGGTGCTACTGCATGTTGATGCTTCACACGACTAGAACAAACTATCTAAGGTATCAAAAGTCAAACGCTTAGAGACGGAACTCACCGTGTTAAGCACAACTTCACTGGAAATTTGCACGCTTACTCTAAGAACTGTAACAATGGTAAGCTGCAACTACAAACGACCACTATCTCTCAGTAGTAGATGACAGCATGCGAATTGTAAACTAATACACACTACGTTACTTCTCTCCTGTTATTTTAGTGAGGACGTGAGAACTGCGAACATAATCGCTGTCGCTCCAGATGGCGTGGACTGTTTGCTGCTTGATCGAGAGTAAGTCATTAAACATTGCAAACTGATGAGGCCGCTTCTATGGATAAACGATTAGGTAACTGTGGAATGTGGACACTTGCCGCATAGTACAAAATGACGAATAGATGAAATAGCTCTAAGAGAAGCGATAAAGCTGGGAAAAAAGGGAGGAAGCAACAGGCTATTAAAGCTACAACATTAAGACTTTCGGTGCCTTTTTGGGAGAGTAGTTTCAGAACTGCAATAACAAAAGGAAAATTGTCGAGAAAATATGGCCATCTTGATTTTCTCCTGGGAAAGACACGTGAGGCCAATAGAGCTACCTACATGGGTGCGATGTTCGCCGCTTTTGACAATGCTACTACTATGTGGTCCTACAAGAGACGGAACAAATGCTAGAATTCCATTATAAAAAATTCACCCACTATGAAATATTATGTATCGCAAGCATTCAGTCATGAAGATTTACTGTCAATACGGCTATTTTATTCTTTCCTCCTAACCTGTTGGCAAATTCCATCGATCGGATGCTGTTCGACGCCATACAATAAAATTTTTGACACATTCGGGGGAGCGGGGGGCTAGTAGGTAATGTAGAACGAGGTTCTAACGACTGGTGCAAGAAAAATGTCCGTTTCCTTTATTCGGCTTGCTAATCTTTACTGGTCTAATTTTTTTCAGATCCTATAATCTTCTCATCAAAGATCTGGTCAGTTTCAAACGAACTTACAAAGATGAGAGACCTGTGACTTCCAAGTGAGCATCTCAGTCACTGCTTTGCACAGATATGTCCTGTTCGACTAAAATGCATAAATTGCTCGGTTTAAAACATAGCCTGGTATTTCGGCCGCTGTTTCCCTGGGCGAAGGGACGGCGACCTCCCTTGTTGATTCGAAGTTTTGTGTAATAATGCAAACATGTTTTTCACAAAGGTGATAGGGGACTTGTAATTTCATACAACGATCCAGTAACTTTAAATGCTTTATCATTTAAGCAGTGATGCGGTACCAAGGTACTTTGCGGTACACCGGTGCCGGCGCTTATTGGCACAACTTGGCATCCACTGAGAATTCTCATAACCCAGGACGTGGATGATGGTTTTAAATGATTCAACAAACCACTGAAGTTCGTCATCGATGTTCAAATAACAGACCAAGCAAAATCGTCGTTGTGTCTTCACTGGTCATTGCATAGAGAGAATGCTTATCCTGGTGACAAAATACCTGCTATAACAACTCACTTTCTAAAGATTATTGAGAATAATAAGGGGAAACAGTTTGTGAGTTGGTTTATTTCACCAACTGCCAGAGATCGTATTGCATTCTTGTAGACTACGCAGTGTGGAGAAAGTCAGAAACCTATGCGTTCTTTTATAGCTATCCAACTAATCATCTATGGTGTAAAAGTGACTCTAACATGTGATCTACTCTGAACAGACATCGTCTGATCAATACCGGCTAAGCTCAAGACATTCATCGGCCTTTGCTATCCAAGCTGAACTATTTTGCAAGATTCAGGCGTCGCACTATCTCTCCAGTGTTACTGTTATAATTGAGGGAAACGCCGCCTCTGTTCTGATTGCGTAGTTGCCCGATAAGATTGTCCTCTTTTGCCGTCCGGTCATACACAGAAAAAGCCAAGAAGGTTGGAGAAGTCAATTTCTCTGTGAATCCAATCTAGCAATAGTAAATCATACCCAAATCTTTCGTTGGCACCAGAGAGCGTTGGCTCTCCAAGCCATGGCAGATAGTCATTCGAACTGTGACACAATATGCGCAAAATGTCGCCACCTGAGAAATGTGTACAGGCGATGGACACACAGCCACCTATAGGCAAGGCAACACTGGACAAGCAGGTCTCGTGAGTGAACCGGTCTGTATGCGACTCCGAAACAGGACGCTGTCAAACCACTCTAACACCAGAAGGAGGTGTAGATTATCGGCCACTTACTGACGCTGAGCCCTCTAAACACCGATCCGGAATGGCTCTAGGGCTTGTGTCAGCGGTTCGACAGAATAAACAACTGACAACCCACCCCACGAGCGTTGTCTTATGATGCCACCTGAAATCTGCATCCAAAAATGCTCTGCTAAACTGCTTGTATAAAAACACGCAAGGTTTTCTCGATTACGTAACAGAGCTTCGCACTCGCTAGGTTTCAACTCTTTGGGACATCGTCATGTCAGTCCAAACCCACGACAGAGGAGGCGGCGCAAACCTGTATTTTCGGTCTGATATATATATGGACATTAGCAACGAACCAGAAACTTCAGTTGTTGGTTGTTTTTGACACCATATGCACTCTGGTTGCGCACGCATCAGAACAGAAGTCCTTCCAACGCAAAAACAAGCATAAATAATTTCTGAGGAGCAGAACACGTAAATGTATGTCCCGGAGGGATTTGGCATGGTGAGATCACCAGGACTGCTCGAATACCGAAACCTGGACTGCATACGTGACACATCGTATGTTCTGTGTGAAAATGATCTGCAAAGACAAGGACGCGAATCAGCAGGAGTTAATGAAGCGATTCTGCAGGAATCGCGAACTTCTGTACGGACACGTTAACGGCGTTCGAAAGGTGAAGCGGGGGATTCCTGCACTAGTCACTGCTGATAGGTGTATGCGATCAGCAATTTAAGCGGATGATCTCCTACGGCTTCATTACTCCCAAACTTTCCAGCAGATAACGAGCCCAGATATTCACCTCCTTTCTATTACTCCATCGTCGGGGCTAGACGATATCAACTTCACTGCGGAAACTGTGTTGTAGAAGTTGTTATCCTTACGTATCTACAGTTCTCCTAGAGTTGACAACATCCGCCCAAAGGATCTGCGAGCGGTAGCTAATGATCTAGCAGAACCACTGGCTGTTTTCTATCAGCGACGTCTAGAAGAGAACCATATTCCACCAGTATGGAAGCGAGGGGTCATTACTCCTATCCATAAAGGAGATAGCCGCACTGACCCTGCCAAGTACCGTCCAATAACACTACTTCCCGTACTATCCAAAGTGATGGAATACATCATCGCAGATGCGCTGATGCAATATTTGGAAAGCCACAATTTAATAGCCCCAGAGCAACATGGCTTTCGTCAAAAGCATTCGTGTAATACTGACCTATTAATTGCACGTAATAGCTGGGCTGAAGCTGTTGATGATGGAATAGGAGTTAATGTTTTCTACCTGGACATTTCAAAAGCCTTTGATCGCTTAGACCATGGCATTCTTTTTCAGAAGCTTCGGAACTACGGCATTGGCGACGCAATCCTGAGTTGGATTAGCAATTTTCCACAGGAACGACGCCTAGTGGTGAGAGTCCGAGAATCATTTTCTCATGCGATCGATGTGGCGCGTGGAGTACCACAAGGCTCATCCCTTGGACCTCGTCTATTCTTGGTGTTCATTAACGGTTTGGCGAGGTCAATTACATCCGATTTCCTATTTTTCGCTGATGATATCAAGATATGGCGAGGGATCAGAGGACCGGACGACCACGAACGACTCCAGTGCGATCTTAACACAGTGTCGAACTGGTCAATTCAAAACGCCCTACCATTCAAAGTAGACAAATGTCGCGTTGTACAATTACGCCATAGACATAACTACACCTATTTGCTTGGGACAAACGGTTTACAGAATAGCTCCCAGGTACGTGACCTTGGTGAGATCGTACAGAGCGACCACAACTGTTCAAAACCGGCCGAGGTAGCTTCAAAAAGAGGCAACCAGCACGTCGACACGCTGCGAAGGGTATTCAGGAGATTTTCGACCCATCAATCTACCCAACAGTGCACAATTCCTCCGTGCGCCCGCATGTTGAATAAGCTATCCAAGCTTGACAATCTTGGTTAAAGCGCGAACTCGAAGCGTTCCAGGCAACACAACGAGAAGCAAAAAAGCACGTTAAGGGCCTGCGCTATCACTCTTACCACCGAAGGCTGAAGTTGTTGGGAGTTTTCGGTGGACGCTATCGTAGGCTGCGCAGTGATCTCATATTAGCGTATCCGATTTTGAGTGACCCCCAACCACGTATATGCCATTTGCTGAAACTTAGCCACAACACGCAGCTCAGAGGTAACTGCTTAAAATTGAAGGAACAATATAGCCGTCTATAGTGTCGATGGAATTATTTTTCCCTTCGGGTTTGCTAACCCTGGAACGCACTCCCAGACTCAGTTGTACCCTCTCCTACCTTGGATGTTTTCAAAAAACGATTAGATGTTGCTCTTAGCTCCCAGCATTTTATTACCTAAACTGCTCTATTGTGGATTTTGTCAAGCACGCTTTTCAACGGGATTTATGTATCAAATGAACCTAAGTAAGCGACCATATTTCACTTTTCTCATGCCTTACATCAACGAGCACTTGACACCAGTGTCCTGAACGTTTACGCTCGATTTTTTTAAATTTTACACTGGTGTAACTTATCAAATATTTATCTAGGCAGACGTTCGCTAGATGACCCAGATATATTTTGATTTCATCATATTCACCTCAATCATCCTAGAGGACGTGCCAAGCACTTGCTTTTATCCCGTGATAAATCATTGTTCATTGTTCATTGTTCATTGAGAAATGCTAATGGGTATTAAATACTAACAACTGACTGCCCTGGAATGGCCACTTTGTAAATAGATCATTGCATGACTTATGCTGTGAAACAAGCGCTGGCACGCACATACCGACAAGTCCTTCCACTGGAGGAAATCAAACAGTTTCTCACAGCGAACAACTCAAGGCGGACTTGCAAAATGTGCTTGCTCATGTACCGCTAGGTAACCACGTCACGTCTCCCAAGCGATTCAGTGTGGGTGGTGAACTATCTGTCTCGAACCTCGTGCTCAGCAAAAAGGAACAAGCGATACATTACGCAGCCATATATGCATGGCTTGGCCGAAGCGATCTGCCACGCTTCTCTTCCGTTACATCTGCTACGTGGAATAAACCAGAGGATGTTCCGGACGTCACGCATTACGACATCCTGTTTGACCTGGTTCTAGGAAGCAACTGGTCATTCCTGGACCAACAGCTTCCCGGTGTCACATGGAAGAAGTTTGTCATTAAGTTAACCGGTCTAGTGACAGATGCGTCGGAAACCAATCTTTCACCTGAAGCAAAGGAAACCTTTGGTGAAGAGCCGGACTCGAAAGTGAATGGTTATAAGGTTTTCAGCCTGGTCCGCTTATGAAGCTTGGCCTAGTGTGCACATCTGGAAGCCTAGATAACTTCACGAAAACATAACGTCAAATTGGTCCATAAAGACATACCGAGCACCAACAAAACTTAGAAGTAAAGTGCAATATTAATCCTTAAATGCTCTACAGATGCGTCAACAAGCTTCTAAGAGTGCAGCTTAGAATCCCAGTTCTACGTGTATCATGTTGTTTGGTGCTATCTACACAAGCGGCCACCGCGCTTCAGCAAGTGCATCCGTACATTGCACAATGAATCTTCACCTCACCCGCTTTCGACACAACTCACACCGCCTCCCGTTTTGACCTACGTATCCTTCACTACGGTGTGTGCATAGCTGTCCTGGTGTTGACAACATAAAACCGAAAGAATTAAAGTCTGCCGCCATGGAGATAACTAAGCCCTTAGCCCGTTTTTTACAACAATGCCTTTATGAAATGCAGACTTCCACAATGTGGAAACATGGAATAATCACTGTTGTGGCAAGACCTGAGTAATTTGACAGCTCAAGGGACTGGACCAAAGTGTTCTCATAGAGAGGTGTTCGACATACCGAGATCTG